TGCCTCAATACATTCCTGCCCGAGACGAGAGATGTATTCTCATAGGGCCCCACTCGACCTGGGTCAACATATTTCACGTGCTGGACGTGGTTGGGCAAAGCTGCCGATCCAAGGGGACAGGAGCGAAAGCGGGAGAATCGTGCTTGAGCTGAAGGGATGATCCTGCTTGAGCTGGCGTTGGGTCAATCAGAAAGAACAGCTAGAACAATGAAGACGGGATTCGAGCTACATCTGTTTGAGTGTTTCTGTGCTGGCCGGTACAAGGCATGGAGCTCACTGGATCAAAGGGCGAAGTCCACAACAACTGCGTGTGGTACACGAAGCAGATGGCTGAAGCAAGAGAGAAAACAAGAGCAAGCGAGGCAGCATGCATGATTTTTAGCAGCATGCAGGGCCAGGCAGAATGCATAGGGAGGGCCTTGACTATTACAGGTAAGCGATCTCTCCAAAACCATGTTCAGTTCCCTCCTAGGGGGAAGGTTTAGGGTTTAGGGTTGCGAAGCTTCGTTGGATCGCACAACTCAAACCTTCAGATTCAACATATCCGCTTCGAACAGCCGGGGGTTTGGTTGCGAGGTTCTTGTGACATGCCCCCGAATCCAGGGATGATGTCGGGTGATTTCATTTTCAAGCTTTCCCTATGAGCATCTCAGCCCTGAAAGCTCCGGAAGCTTCACGTTCCCAGATCGCAGCAGGTTGGTACTTCACCTCTTGCGCAGAAGATGCGTTGAGATTCAGGACGCTTTTGGGGGGACCCTAAGCCCTAAACCCTGAATGTCCGAGAAAAGACCACTGGGTCATCAGCGCAGCATCCGTGCGTTGTTCTAACCTAGGGCCGCTGATGCGCCCCTTCACGGGTTTAGGGTTTAGGGTTCAAGGTTCAGGGCTTACGGTTTCAAACTGGGATTTGGGAACCTCAAGGAAGCGGAACCCCAAGCCAACCAAGATCCTGCATGCCCGAGGCAACACAACTCCATAGACCCTATAAGCCCTATAGGCCCTAAAGCCTCCACAAGCGGAGCCATATGGGCATGCAGGATGCGGTGGAAAAGCTGAGAACCTTCGAGTTCGACAGCTTGGAATGCGAGCCTTGGGTTTCGAAAGCTCCAGGGTTTAGGGTTTAGGGTTATCCACCAAGTGCATAGAGGTTTAGGATTTAGGGTTTTCCGCCATTGAAATCTATGGAATCGATGACCCGAAACCATCCCGAAGTCCTTGAAGTGCGCGCAGCGGGCCTACGTTCCTACATGTGTCGGGGCCTTGCAAGCCCCCTAAACCCTAAACCTCCCAAAGCCCTAAATCCTATAAGCCCTAAACCCCCTAAGCCCCACACCACCTGAGCCCTCAACCCTAAACCCCCTAGACCCAAAACCCTAATTCTGCTGATCTCGCAATCCTGTTGGTTTAGGCTTCGGCTCGAGTTTGGTGTTGGCAACTGAGCTCTTCTCGCCCGAACCAGCTGACTCGCAAGCACTGAGGCCGTAACTAGTTCCCAAGTCTGGAATCTGCAGGCCAGCACAAATGCCAAGAGATACTGAAACCCAAAAAACATGCGAAGCTGATCTCAAAACCTGAACTTAGAGCAACATCAGCGTACACCCTGAATTCAAGAGCGCGAAACCCAATAATCTGGTTCCTGCGGCTCAAAACCACCTAGTTGGAATCACGCAGCTGCCAGGCATAGGAGGGCCCCTAGCGTTTCAAACCGAAACCCCCAGCCCTGAAAGCCGCAAGCCGGCGACATGATAAAATATCTAAAGCCTCACAGCGCCCTAAACTCTGAACCGTCCAGGAAAGAGAGGAGGAGCGTGAGTTTGCCCAGCTCGCCGTTGAGCGCTGGTTCGGCAGCGCGAGCGATTTCACAGAGCACGTGCCTGGGAAGCCGATCGCGGTCTGCTTGGTATGGGGCTCTGAATAATAAAACGTGGTTTACTATACTCTGATCACAATTTGATGCTAACTATGGGGGTCCTAATATTTGGAATAATAGGGCTTGGTGGTGGATTATAACCTAACAATGGACTGTAGTCACAAGGAGACTATAAGGAAGGATTTTTACCGACCCCTACATTAAGTAGAGTATCTCGTGTTCATCTTGAGACTCTAGAGAAGTTTCGACTGTCGATTGCTTCTGAGGTTCAGGGCTTTTGAAGTCGGACGTTCGGAGATTACTGAGATTAGTTACGTGCCGAAAGTTCCGTCCTCGAGACTTTGTCAGTGCAGTTGGGGATGAATTTGCATAGCAAGTCTCAATCCCTACACTAAGCCCCCAAACCAAAGTTTGGAGAAACCCTAACACCCTAACACCCTAAACCCGAAACCCTCAAACCCTAAACCCTAAACCGCAGAACCCTAAACCCTAAAAAAGAACACATGAACAAACGAAAGCAGCCGTAAACCCGAGACTCTAAACCCCAAGCCCTAATCGCCCTAATCTCAAACCCCAGGTGCGGGTGTCTCTTCACCCGACCATGGAGAAGCAACTCCAGCTCCTCAAGGTTCTGGGGGTGAAAGGGGGGTTTGGGGTTTACCCTTCCCGAGCCGATTTGTTTGCTTGCCATCCATGTTTTCTGGTTCTGCGTTGGGGAAGCCTTCAATGCACGACCCTGAACCCTAACCCAAACGTGCACCCCTGAACCTGCATGCCACAGCCCGAATTAAACCCAAACTCCTATACATTACACCCAAACCCCTAAACCCCCGAAACTTCCTAAACTTCCCAAACTCCTACGCTAAACCCCTAAACTTCCTAAAGCCCTAAAGCCCCCCGAAACCTCTGACCCTGCGCCACCCGATCTCTGTTTGCCCCCCCCCCCCCCCCCCCCC